AGCATTTTCAAAAATAAGTCAAGTGAAGTGAACTGCATGTTTTTACGCAGAATGAACAGAATTTCATACATGGAACATTTTTTCATTGCTTTTATAGTAATATCGTCGTATTTTTCTTCGGTAAAAAAAATAAAGAAAAATAAAAAGGCTTTTGATCACTTTTTTATTAACATTTTAATGCTACGAATCATTTTTATCATATGGTTGTTATTTACCATGTATAAATATATTTTAGTACCTATATAGAAACAAAATTTTTATAAAATTTACAACTTTTAAAAAATTCTGTTTGCTTAAAATATAATTAAATAAATGTATCTCATTTCAATAATAAAATAAATACAATTTTCAGAAGTGACAAATTAGTTGGAAAGACAATATTTTTATAGCCTCAAAAGAAAAAAAATAAAGATTGATTTCATCTGCGTTAATGATCAGTTTTGTAGTATAAAACTTTATATTTATCGATCACTGTTTGTGGTTGTAACATTTATAGTCTGTTTCATAAAATTTACTACAAAAATTTTATACGTCATTAGTATTTATATTGTAAATAATAAAAACATTCGTTTTTTATTCATATATATGCATGTTTTAAAATTAAAAGACCTTTATATATTTTTACCCTTATCTTTAATTGCTTGTTTAAACAAAAATTTTTTTAAATTAAAACAATTAAAAAATTAAAAACAGAATGATATTAAATTTTACAATTTAATAAATAATTTAATTAATTATTGTATTATTTATTTACAGATCAAGTTTATGAAAAAATAGAGCAACTCGTGGACTTGTGAGTACAAATTTTTTCTAATTTATTAAAAAATATTTTTTTTTAAATTATAATTAAAAGCCTATTTTTTGGAAATATCAAAAAAAAAGATGTTCCTAAAGTTACAAACTTTCCAAAAAAATATAAAAATGTTATATAAGTAAAATTTATAATAGTCAACAAAAATTAAAATTTACTGATTTATCAAAAAAAAAAACAATATTTTACTGATTAATCAGTCAATCAAAAATTTAATTAATTAAACATTTCAACGCATTCAGATAATTATAGAAGTAAATAAGATAAATATAAAAAAAAATCATTTTTAATTGAAAATATAAAAATAAAAAATAGAATACCAAACAGGGTACAAATTTTACTGATTAATCAGTCAATAAATGAATTAAAGAAGTTAAGATTTTTTTGATATAAATTCAGATGTAGAAAGAAGAATAAAATGAAAATAAAAAAAGCAATTTTAAATTGACATATCAAAATAGAAAGTAAAATATACCTATCAAAATACAAATTTTACTGCTTAATCAGTCAATCACTAATTTAATTAAGTAAATATTCTAACGCATAAAGAGTTAGTAAGAAATGTAAAATAAAACTAAAACTGAATAAACTTTTTAATTGACAATATAGAAATAAAAAATAAAATAGGTACCAAAATACAAATTTTACTGATTAATCAGTCCATCACTAATTTCATTTATTGAAAATTTCAACTCATTTAGATTTTGCGAGAAGAATAGAATAAAAAGGAAGATAAAAATAAAAAAAAATAATTTTTATCGAGAATATGAAAATAGAACATCAAAATACAAATTTTACTGATTAATCAGTGAATCATTAATTTAATTTAGATTTAAAGAGAAAAATAAAATAAAAATCAATAAAAAATAATTTTTAATTGAGAATATAAAAATAGAAAATAAAATAGCAAAATATGAATTTTACTGATTGATTAATCAGTAAAATTTATATTTTATTAGTGAATCACTAATTTAATTAAGTAAACATTTTAACTCATTTAGATTTAAAGAGAAGAATACAATAAAAAATAATTTTTATCAAGAATATAAAAGTAGAAAATAAAAAATCAAAATATAAATTTTACTGATTAATTAGTTTATCACTAATTTAATTTAGTGATTATTTTATCGCATTCAGATTGGGAGAGATGAATAAAAAAAAGAATTTTTATTGAGAATATAAAAGTAGAAAATAAAAAATCAAAATACAAATTTTACTGATTAATCAGTGAATAATTGATTTTAATTAAGTGAATCGAATATTATAACGCATTTAAATTTAAAGAGAAGTGTATAATAAAAATAAAACTAAAATATAAATTTTACTGATTGTCTCAATAACTGATTTAAAGAAGTAAAAAATGTTTACGTGTTACGGTACATTCAAAGTATCGTTTTTTTTATTATTATTGATTTAAAAGTTATACTTTGAAAAATCGGATCTCTATTTGATTATGTGCCATATATAATAATTAATTGTTATTTGAAATTTAAATAGATTATTAAATTCAATGAACTTATTTGTAAAAGCCGTAGTGTCGCAAACAGGTCAATAACATAAGGATTGCTTCGAGTTCATAACAGTCTTTTTGCATGATTAAGAAATTCCAAATTCTTTCATATTCTATTCCTTCTTACGATTCTATAATTTAAAATAATTGACAAGCACAAAATACAAGAATGATTTCACCACTTTTATGCATTAACTCGAAAATTTAAGTGTCAAAGACTCTTTTGGTTCAATGACCAGATTGTAGTTTGTTGACAAAACAGAAACGCAGGCGTTTCTGAAAAGGTCCTTAACCTCACAGACCTTATTGCCATCACATGATGCAAAATCAAAAATGAGTTAAGCATTTTTGCACAATAACCCGTGTAGAAATTGAAAATAGGACTTAGCAAACTAGGAAAATTAGTCAGGACCCGTCTAATTTCGTCACGCTTGAAATATCAGGTGATGATGTGGAAAGATAGAGAGGTTCTAACTAGATTGCCTTATCACTGCCTGAATAGAAAAGCAGAATGTGGGGATTTAACTAGAGGGCCTCTTTAGCGCCTCATTAGTTTTTCTAAATACCAAAGCAAAAATTTACGACAGGCGTAATATTGCGCCAGTAATACTGAACAAGTTACTGAACAAACACACATGTAAACAACACTGTTTCGACCAATCAACCTATGACTAACTTAACACTAACACTAACGTATACCTAACACTAACTCGCACGCTATGAATCTACTTTCTCATCGTCCTTATATACTGAACAGAACATTTCTTTACCGCTTGTGAGAAAAAGTGCAATATTTTGAAATTTAAAAATAGCAAATATTTTTGCTCAAATAGTTTTTATATTTTAAATAGTATTTTAATATGCGTTTAGAACTATTTTTCTGATTAATTTAATTGCTTATTATTTAGAAATTAGCATTTTTCAATGAAATTGAAAATTAATTTAAATACCTAATAGGGTCATAAATAGATACAAGATAGATTTCCCTGTTTAGACAAAAAGGGCATTCTAGTCAGAGCCTGATTGAAATATTTAATAGGGGCATAAATAGATCTAGTTAGATTTTCCTATTTGGAAAAAGAAGGCATTCTAGTCAGTGCCCTATTATCACCTATATCTAGACATTATTAGTGTGGTTGGCCTAATTAAATCCTCATCAGTGCCCTTTTTCAAATAAGGCGAAGTCGGGCAATTTCCACACGAGAAGAAAAAGTGCAATGAAATCATAATTATTCAGTTTCATCAGAACATATTTCCTAATACTTAACCCTTCCCAATAATTTGTCACACCCAAGCCTCAATTTCATGCAATAAAACTGGTGTGCTTACGATGTAATTCGCTTCTTTGCGACAGTTAACTCCTGGAGACAGGTTATCGCGAGGTTGACCGTCTGCGAAACTCGACCGGTTCAAGGGTTCGCCACGGGCAATCGAATTCGGGTAGACGTTAAACTATGATCCCCAAGTTTTGAACGTTCAAATGAACGAAAAATTTTTTACTGGAGATATTTTAATAAATTATTAATCACAAACAAATTTAGAAACTGAAATATTTACGTTTAAAAACTCAGTAATTAATTTTTTGGATAGTAACGCAAAATAATTGCAATAAAAAATTTATTTGTAGAAGAAATAAATAAATTTCGTTCATTTGAACGTTCAGAACTTTAGGATCTTGTTAAACTGAAAAATCGCGAAGTGTTTGGAATAGATAAGACTGAGAAGTTATAGTGAACACAAAATAAAGAAGTGGAATAATTTAAATCAATTTATTAAAAATAACCTAAAAATTGTTAATTACTCTCTCTCGCACATTATACAATTTTAACAGCCCTTTCGTCACACTTTGAATTGCTCTGAATATATGACAGTGATCATATAACAAACTCAAAGCAATAGATAGTCGAATTAAATAGCCGCGTAAAGATTGAGAAATTAAGGCGAGTAGAGACGAAAACAACGTGAGGTTAAAAATGAGTGTCTTAAATTGTCCCATTTAAATAAACCGTTAATAGTGAAAAGTTTAAGATAGTAATGACTGAGAATTAACAAATGAACAACCCATTAACAAAATAATCAATCATCAAATTTGCCCATTCTGACCAGAAGAAAGGTTAGTTTTAAATGACTCTCTCTCATTCTTCTTGTTTCAGTGCGGTAGAGATTAAGGTTACATAATATAAAGATAATTGTAAGTAAAAATCAATTATGACTATTGCTAAATAAATATAATATCTTATTTGGTCTAAACAAGATGTTAAATTGTTCTGAACCCATAGTTCTTATCTGCAATCCCTAATGAAATTCCTAAAAGTCCTAAATTAACAATAGATTAAAAATTAAATTAATCGAGATATAAAGAGAAGAAGAATACACGATCCCGCATAAATAAAAACATTTAAATTCATTTTAAGTGGTTGTTGTGAACCGAAGATTAAGCTACAACTTTTGTTTTATTAATTAAATAACGAAGGACCTTATTGAATAACCTATATATATATATATATATTATAAACATTTTTTCACAACATTACGAATTAAAATTTATTGTGAAAAATAAAATAGTTTTAAATTTTGTTTTATTTATTTAGTAAAAAAATAGTTTCTTTTTAATTAAAAATACAAATATAGAAAAAGTATTCGTTATTTATTTAGTGAAAATTTTATTCCAACACTCACCTAATTGAAGAGAAAAACACGAGATGTTGATTAACTTGAAGTCCCTTTTATTAAATTTCGCCTCGACGTCAATATTTTCCAGTAATTTTCTTGACTTGATATTCAAGCAATTTCACTCACTTTTCACCTCTCTGGGAAAACCAATGTTTGATTTTAAAGAAAAAAAAGAAAGGAAAAGAAAAAAAGAATCTGACAACCCTTAAGTTTGATGATTCATTGTCACTATTGAATTGTTTGAATCGAGTGTGTTTGCCTTTAAAATTTCTACCACCACTTTCTTCCTCTCTTCGATTAGTTTGTTTTCAAATAAATCACAGTCAATGTAGACGGAAGCAAAAATTTCTAATCCAAGAATAGAGGATTCCGATTTCACAAGATTTATCTTTGCACTTCAATTTCTACTTTATTCCTATCCCACTTCAATTTCTCGATGAAAATAAATCTATTTTTCTTGTTCAAAAATTATTTCTTTTCATTTGAAATTATTGAACATTTTTTGTTTATTACTTTGTCTCCATTGTGTTCGGAACTTACATTTTTAATTCTTTTCCAAAACACCAAAAAAAGGGGATTTTTGGTCATATTTTCCGATATTCGTTTAGTTTGAGAAGCATTGTTGGATTTCTTTTCTTTTTTTTGGTGGATTTATTGAAAAGAGGATGACAAAAAACGATTATTCCTCACCAATAATTTCTTCTTATTCTCCTTTCTTTCATCAACTTGATTTTCTTCTTCTCGCTTCTTTGACATTTGCTGAACGATCAAAAAGAGTTTTTATGGAAAAGAAATTTTTGTTAATTTTTTTTCGATATCCATTTTTTAAAGGCTTTTTTTGAGTAGAAAACTATTTTTTAAATACGAACAACGGGAAATTATATTTTTGATGCGAAAAACTTTCGGAAAACTATATTTTTAATTTGCGGAAAACTTTTAGGAGACTAAAATTTTGATACGAAAAACTTTTGAGAAACTATTTTTTTTTTTAATTATATTTCTTCGGAGGATAATTTTTTTGTCGCAGTGTTGATTATTTTATTATTCGCGAACGAAACCTCGTGTTCAGTGAATGAAATGAGCTTTTCGGAGAGAGAAAGGATGAGAGGTATAAAAATCATCCGTTCTCTGGTTCGTACCGGCACATTCTGCGTTCGCGAAAGCTTGTTCGAGCTTCTACCTTTAGTTTAGAGTGAACTTCCCTTTTGCGCAAGCTCCCCCTTCACAAGCACACTATATACTTTTTTAAAATACATGCCATTTTATAACGCCCTTTTAAATTTCTAAATTTCTAAGAAGCGTACGTTGAACATAAAAGATAACGGTGGAATTCTAAAAGAGAGTAGGACACGTTTTTCTTCATATTTAAAATTTTTAACTTTCAAACGTATATTTATGAATATTCATCGAAAAAAACATAAAAATTTCAGGAATCGAATCAAAAATTCCCTTCAGTCAATTTAAATTTTAAAATAAAGAAAAAAAGTCGTTTATTTTATTCAGTTTTTTATTTTATTCTGTAATGAAAATTTCTGTTTTTATCCTGACCTTTCACTGATTTCTAAATTCAATTACATATTTAAAACTCGAATAATTTTATTCAATAATATTGAAATATTTATTTTTATCACATCAGCAATTAAACTAATTGACACTAAAAATTTCAAACCTTCTAAAATTAAATTATTATTTTTCTAAACATTCCATTTGTAATTCATTACAAAATTTAGCTATTTTCTAGAATTTATAAATCAACTTCTTCTCGAAATCAATTATTATTTTTAATAATTTTCGAAAGTTCTTGGAAAATTTAATTCTTTAAATACAATAATTATTAATTTAATTAATAATTAATTATTATTAACTATATTAATCTTCATATTCTTTCATTCAATCTGTCCGCAGTTTGAAGTTAGTTTTTGTTTATGCTTTTGTTTTTTTAAATATTGTTTGACAAATTGAAAATATGCAGGTATTTTTTCATGACTGATTTAAGTTATTATCCAAATTATTATCCTTTTATTTTACAAAAAATACTAGAAAATTGTTAATTGCTATAAAATTATGATTAAGAAATAGAAAATAAATACCCATTTTATGCACAATTTTCATTTCTCAATAACAATATTGTTTACTTAGAGTGATCGATTTCTTCATGTTTTATAAAAGTAATTAAATTTTATTTAATTATTTAAATACAAAAGTAAATTATTTATTGAATAATTTAATGTTTCTTTAAATTTAATTCATATTTAAAGAATTTTATTAACAAATTTTTAAATTTAAGAATTCTTTTGACAAATTTTAATAAACAATTTTAGAATAGTTACATTTTTTCAAGGAGTTCGATTAAAATTGTATTAAAAATAATTAAAATTCTGCGATGAGATTTATTATTTCTGAAAATAATTGAATTATTGAGAAGAAATTTATAAAAAATTTGTAAATAATTGAATTCCTGTGAAATTTTTATTATTTATGAAAATAATTAAATGTTTTTTGTACAATTTTATTTAAAAAAATTTAAATAATTGAATCCTTTGCTCAAAGGATTTATTTTAATATATTAAAATAGTAGATAATATATTAAAAATCATTGAAATGAGGAAAAATTTTGAAAATAATTGAAATTTTGCCAAGAATTTTATTAAAGGTTTTGAAAATAATTGAATTTTGAAGAACAATTATTTTATTTATAAAGATAATAATTGGGCTTTTGTCGAGATTTTATTACATTTCAAAATAATTGAATTTCTGCAATCATTTGTAACTTCTTAAAAATTAAATTTTTTTAGTGTTTTTAACTAAAATTCTTCTATAAATCCATTATTTTTAATAATTAATTAAATACATATTAATAAATTTAACTAATTTTAGAAGATTTTAACCCAATGGGAAAAAAACCATTGGCGCATTAATGGCCCAATAATGGACCACTAATGGTAAAATCGTGGGATGTCCACGCCGATGCCAATAATTGGCAACCATTATTGGCACATTATTGGCTGCCATTAAAAAACCAATAATAAAAAAAAAAATTTTTTATTAAATTTTATTAAATAATAAATTTATTTATTTAATAATTATTTTATTTATTATTATTATTATTTATTATTATTAAAAATATTAATTTTTTTAATTAATTATTTTATAGAAATCGTTATTATTTTCTATCACATCGAAATGTGAATAACCCTTTCGTTCAGAGTCTAAAAATTATTTACCTCACATCCATCAGTGCAAAAATAGGAGAGGACGGGCAGAATAAAATTCTACAAAGTACAAATATTCGTGAGAATGCTGCCTCCTTATATACTTTTCAAGTTTCATGTTAGTTCCGAGAGAGTTTTAAGCAACACCTCCTATGGGGTGTTGAGCGAACTACATACTTACTACATGATAATTTCTGCAGCGTCGGTAAGTAATTGTATGTAGTTCGCTCAACGCTCCGTAGGAGGTGTTGTTTCAAACTCTCTCGCAACTAACATGAAACTTGAAAAGTATATAAGGAGGCAGCATTCTCACGAATATTTGTGGAATTTTTTTCTGCCCGTCCTCTCCTATTTTTGCACTGATGGATGTGAGGTAAATAATTTTTAGACTCTGAACGAAAGGGTTATTCACATTTCGATGTGATAGAAAATAATAACCATTTCTATAACATAATTAATTAAAAAAATAATTATTTTTAATAATAATAAATAATAATAATAATAATAAATAAAATAATTATTAAATAAATAAATTTATTATTTAATAAAATTTAATAAAAAAAATTTTTTTATTATTGGTTTTTTAATGGCAGCCAATAATGTGCCAATAATGGTTGCCAATTATTGGCATCGGCGTGGACATCCCACGATTTTACCATTAGTGGTCCATTATCGGGTGCCAATAATAAACCTAAAGAAAACCAATGGCTTCCAATATTGGGCCATTAATGCACCAATGGTAGACTAATGGCTATTTCCCATTGGGAAATTATTAGAATTTTTCAAATATCTAAAGTTCATTTAAATTTCTAATTAAATTCATTCAACACTGAACTTTTATAAAATCTTAAATTGAAACCGTTTGAAGTTCATTTATACGCAACTCTTTTAAAATTGTATTAATATTGAAATATTGAAGTAAAATTATTCATTAAGGGCATCCGGGAAAAAATAATGGTTTCGTGATAGACGTCTGATTTAAAAAGAAAAGAATATTTTGAGTCGGGATTTTTTGGTAAATATAGAGAAAAGCTCTGGGACCCGCGCTGCTCTTGACGGTTTGATATAGAGGTCTTATTTTGACAGGATAAAATATTTCGGGTTCATATTTGGAGGGGTGATAGAGGAAGACTCTCCGAGGCGCGGCCCTCTCCGTTTTTCCAATAAATTTGCGAGGAAATTATTTTATTAACGATTAAAAGTGGAGTAATTTGAGGTTCATACATTTCCTATTAGTTCAAGTCGCGACCACTTCCGAGAATTGGCGCTACCTCCTTGACCACTGACATCCGCAAAAGATCCACTTGTCTGTGTGCTCGCCGCCATATTATCTCTCCCTTTCGCCAAAAATCCAACTTTTGTAATTTCGTTTTTCAATATTTATTTCAAAAATTACTTGCAAATTTCGAGAATATTCTTTATCATCATGAATTCCCCTAATTATCATGATAAATCCGAACTAAATATCTCTAATTATTTAGGAGTGAGACGACACGCGGGGAAAACACTTTTTGGGGTTAATTTTTCCCGGATGCCCTTAAATAATTTATTTATTTTATGACAGTTGTTCAAGATTTAAGTTATTTAACCCTAGAGGGAGTAACTGGGGTGTCTGGACACCCCAAGCAAAATTCAAAGTATTCCCATGGCTTAACCAATAATTTTTTTACGCTCAAAACCCGTTGATAATTTAGTTTAAACCTCTATCTTTTGACACCTGTATGTGCCGCCAAAAGTTTTGCTCTAGGAAGAGCTCTATCTCCTGCTAAAATACGTCTGGGGTGTCTGGACACCCCAGTTACTCCCTAACGTTAGAAAAATTGTCAAGATAAGTAAACTAAAATTTTTTTAAAAAATCGTTTTTAATCAGTTAAAAACATCTAATAAAGTATAAATTGATAGGTTATGCATAAAAAAGTTGTATTTTATAAAAAAGAAACATTTTTATACAAAAATTCTATTTTTATGAAAAATAGACATTCTGTATTTGTAACAACTTATGAAATTTGAGTTAAGATTTATTAAAAATTTCTGTGCTCTCTCTACAGTCAGAAATTAAATTCTAATACAGAAAAATGTAGTATATGACAGTCAAATTTAAATTATAAATTCTATATTGTTAATAATATTTTAACATATATTAGAGGTATTAAGAATTGATAATTAAAACTTTGATTAAATATTAATTTACAGAATCATTTCATAAGTTATTAATTTTAATGTTAATGTATTCAGATATATTAAGTTTGTAAAATTTTAAATTTATAACACCATTTTTAGTAAATATTAATTGTTTAAGTCCATTTTTATGATTTTCACTATTCGTCAATTGTCTTTAATTTCTTTCACTTCAGATGTTCAAATAATTATGTTTTTTGGAACTAATACAAAAACTAATTTTTTCCCCTAAAAGTTTATCTATTTAACTTTAAAAACCTAAAATAGTTTTTAAATTAGTCAAATTCTTAAGAAACTACAACGTTTTTTGTAAAAAAAGTCAATTTTGCAATTTTTTGGTGTTTTTTTTGGGTTTTTACGGTTTTTTTTCAAATTTTTTTTAATTTATCAAAGTATAAACAATATTATTGTATTCCTTACTAAAAAACCAATCAATTCATTATAAAAAAATTTTTTTACGTCAAATAGAAACCTTATAAAACAAGTTTAAAGCGTGGGGTGTCGGGACACCCCAGTTATACTCCTTAGAGGGTGAGTAAATTAACGTACTCCTTCTAGGGTTAAATAGAAATTTTTGTTAGAAATTGAAAAAATTGAAAGTTTTGAATTAAAATTCGTTGTAATTTCATAGTTTATGAGTCAAACAAAAAAGACACAAAAATTCAAAATTTTCTTATGAATTCTAAAAATTTAATTTTTTTCAGTAATTTTATTAAAAATTCCTGTCTTTTGCCTGAATTCTCTATGTCAGAATATATGACTATTATAATTA